TGGGAGTGGAGCCCAACACCCACCTCTCTGCAACAGCCTTTCAGGTAGTTGTAGAGACCAATAAGATCTCCCTTGAGCCTCCTCTCCTCCAGGCTGAACACCCCCAGCTCCCCCAGCCGCTCCTCACAGGAACTGTGCTCCAGCCCCTTCCCTTCTCTGGACACACATGTCCTGGTGTTAATCCGCTCAGCTTTCCCTGAGCTGGGACCGTCAATGCTGGCACAAGCCCACACTTCCAGGTAAAGGCAGGACACAATCAGCAATGCCACAGACAGGGACAGGCCTGATCCTGCCCACGCTGGTGCTGTGGGTCAGGGCTGGGGACAGGCAGCCCCATGTCAGCATGCACACATCTCCCCTCCCGCACGGGCAGAGCTGGGGAGCAGAGGATCCGATGAGGATCCCGTGTGGGAAAAAATCAGCATCACCCACCCTTGCTGGGCTGTCACCCCTCCAGATCCCACCTACAGACCTATGCTCCCTTCGTCCCCATCCCCTGCCTGCAGCCCTGGGACTCTCCTGGCAGGCAGGAGGCCGGCAGCAACGAGGGGATGGGGGAAGATAGGGAAAAGGTAACGGATTTAAACACGAAGTGGGGAGATTCAGACTAGATATAAGGAAGAAATTCTTCCCGCAGAGGGTGGGGAGGCACTGGGACAGGTTGCCCAGAGAAGCTGTGGATGCCCCATCTCTGGAAGTGTCCAAGGCCAGGCTGGATGAGGCTTGGAGCAACCTGGTCTAGTGGAAGGTGTCCCTGCCCATGGCAAGGGGTGGCACTGGGTGGGCTTTGAGGTCCCTTCCCACCCAAACCAGTCTGTGATTCCATAATTCTGAGATGCCTGGATCCTGACATCCCTGCCAGCCCCTGCTTGCCCCCTCCTGCTCCTCTTCCACACTGCCACGAGCAGCAAGAGCTGTGTGCGAAGGTGGCGGGGGCTTCGGAATAAAATAGCCAGGGGAAAAATGCAAGGAAAGAAAAGGGAAGGGAAGAGTCCCATGTCATGAACCCAGCAGCAAAGTCCTCTGGGTTTGGGCTTTGCACATGTTTAAAGCGTGAGCCAAGGTTGAGATCTGGGCCAGGTTGTGGACTTGGGTGGGAGCTGGAGTCTGACCTGGATACAGAACCCGCATCCCTCTGTTCCCAGCCCCAAGGCTGCAGTGATGCTTCAGCCTTGGCTCTCTGGGTGACCCCGTGCTGCTGGGATGGGTTGCGGGGCATTGGGTGCCTGCATTTCTGTATTGGACCCTTGCAGAAACACAAGGTTTCTGAGAGCAGCTGAGAACCAGCAACTTCATGCCAGGTCAACTGGCACTGCCCAGTTTTGCCCCTTGCCAGATCCATGAAACCATAGAACGGTTTGGGTTGGAAGGGCCCTTAAAGACCACCCGGGCCTACCCCCTGCCATAGGCAGGGCCACCTTCCACTAGACCAGGTTGCTCCAAGCCTCATCCAGCCTGGCCTTGGACACTCCCAGGGATGGGGCATCCACAGCTGCTCTGGGCAACCTGCCCCAGTCCCTCCCCGCCCTCTCCAGGAAGAACGTCTTCCTGATATCCAATCTAAACCTCCCCACTTTCAATTTAAACCCGTTACCCTTTGTCCTGTCACTCCCTGCTCTTGTAAAAAGTCCCCCCCAGCTTCCTTGTAGACCCTTCAGGCACTGGAAGGCTGCAATAAGGTCTCCCCGGAGCCTTCCCTTCTCCAGGATGAACAAGCCCAACTCTCCCAGCCTTTCATCACAGGAGAGACATCCAAGATGTTTCCAGGAAGAGACCAGCAAACAGTGGATGAAGAGTCCAAAAATCCCACCCCCTTGACAATTGGGTGCCTCCATCCCATTGCTTTCTGCCCTTTACACCCCGAGGCACCGCGTCGCCCTCATCCAGAGCCTACCTCAGCCCAGCAGAAAGCCTGAAGCACCATGGCCCCAGATCCAAACCTCCTGTGGAAGAGACCACCCTCATCCATGGCCACGAGCGATGTCCACTTCCAGCCAAGTCCATCCCTGCTGGGCTTTGGGACCTCATCCCACACCCCATCCATGGGACAGGAGCTCAGGTCTCTGTGGGACAGGCTGGCACTTGGAGTGCCAGAGATGGAGAGGAGGTACAATGGGTTGGGGGGTGTCTCTAGCCTGGCAGGGACCCTTTCCCACTGCACCCTTGCCCTTCCCCAGCTGATGCTCCGTGTGTGTGTCCTGATGGAAAACAGGGAGGTCTGCAAAAGCCTCCAACCAGCAAAGGGTTACGCTGGGTGTATTACTTTAACTCAGCCCTGTTTTGGGGCTCCAAAATGATAAAGTGCTGAGGTCAGGCTCGTTGACACCCCGAGGGGATCCCGCGGGGATGTGGGGTGCTCAGGCGCCCCGGCTCAGGTGCGAAAGGCGGTGTCTCTCCGCCGGGACCCCTCCATCTGCGATTCATTACCCGCACGCGGTTCCCATTTGCTGTCACCGGCCAAACAGATGGAGGCAAGGGTTTCGGAATGAGGAAAGCTGCAGTATTTTTCTGACATTAACACTTATATCAGGTCCTGGGAGACTTCGGGAGGAGCTGGCCCCGGGCCCCGAACCACCCACTCCTCT